TATGAGTTGTCTAAATCGATAGGGTCGGATCTTCCTCTTAAAAGAAAGATGCTACGGTCCCGTTACGAAAATATTTTGTCGGTGTTTGTAACCGTTAGATCAATTATCTCTTACGGTTACGTAATGATCTAACTGTTACAAACCCGACGGAATGATTATGTAACAAGGGACTTTAGTATTTCCCGAAAAGATAAAACTATTCATCAATTCTTGCCAATAAAATAATTCACTAATCTAAAAAGGTACTCCCTCCTATTCATAATAAGTGTCGTTTTGAGAAGTTGCACAGTTATTAAGAATATTTTTTTCTACCAATAATAACCCTCATTAATGAAGAGAGAGATGAATGTTATGAGAAAAAATAAAGAGTGAATATGAAAAGACGTAGTGTATTTATTAGTTAGATGAGGGTAATAATGGAAAAATATGTACAAAATATCCAAAACGACATTTATTTTATTAATAGTTGGTAATGCCAAAATGACATTTAAAAAGAATATGAGGTAGTACATATTTTCTTTTTATTTATTTAATTTTTTATTTTCTAGTTCTAGTTGTGTTGATAACTACTAGCCCCCACAAGTTGACCTTCGCCGGGCTTTTAGACCATCTTTAACGGTGACCCATCACCAATTAAAAAAACATAAAAAAGCCAAAAAAAAAAAGAAAAAAGAAAAAGAAGGGTCATGAGAAGTGAGCGACCCAGGTCACATTGTGACCTTGGGTTGCGGCCCCTTTATTGTTTGGAGAATGGGACATTTGTTCCATTTTAATTGGATAAGTGTATTTTTTATTTATTTAAAAAAATGAAAATAATATTAAAATTCGTATTTTTTTCATTCTCTACAAATAGAGACCACACTTGGTATATTTTGAAATAAAATTGAAATTTTTAAATAAATTAAAATAAAATAAATATTTAGGTTGAGTTGGGTTGGGGATAAAGATAAATTGAATTATAAGGTTGAGTTGTGTAGGTGGAGGAAAGAGAAATAATTTTTATTTATTAAGTTGGGTTGATTAAGTTGGGGATAAAGATAGTCTTAAGGGGAGAAAATCATACGCATGATGAAAGTAGTTCTAAATATTATCGATATACTATATTATCGAATGAAATAGAGAAATGATAAAGATGATGCCATGGCACCTTCAAATTAAGAACCAACTTAAAATTCTTTTTTT